GGGAAAACATTTTCTGGATCAAGATGTTGTCTTGCAGGTTTTTCTCTACCTCCTTCAGATCTGCCCCTGGCCATCATGGGCCACTGTTGGCTGCAGCCTGAGACCTGCCTCAATGCCATCCTGAAGGGGCTGTGTGGCTTTGGGTTGTCACTCTCAGGATCTGTTTTATTACCTGGGAAAGCTAAAATGGGGAATTTCATTAGACTAATGGATTCCTAGGGACACTGGATCCCATACTCCCAGGTTAACTTCTCCAAGGAGAGGTTTGGTTTAGTTTGAGAGTTTTCCAATGAAAAGTACCTTCTGCCACTGTGGTGTAAAGGACCCACTTATTGCCTATGACCAAGTTTTTTGGAGGAGGAGTGGGAATAGATCTCTCTCAGCTTTTGATTTGGTCTCAAGCAAGTTCTCCCAAAAGCTCCTTCATCTCTCTCGCGATCCCTGAAGTGAATCAGGCGGACTCTTCCAACAGGAACACCACAGTCAGCTCCTCTGCTCCAACCCGGGGGTGCCTCTCTGCTCCCCTTTGCTCTAAACACTCATTTTGAGATGGCGTTCTGCCTTCTCAGCTCATTGAGCCGGGCTGGCAGGAGCCCAGCATAGCTTGCTTTGTCTTCAATCCATTTTAGAATAAAAGATAGCTCTATATAGCTACGAAGATTACCACCCCACCACCAACACATTACAGGCCTAATCCTTTTTGGGGTTCTAACGTAAAGCCTCATGTTGGGAAAGCTGGCATTGAAAGTGAATTATTACACACCAGTGTGGACTCAAGTCCATTTCTCATGATAACCAGCAAAACCTGAAGCATGTCAAACTGTAATTTCTCTAGCATCCTGAAAGATCTCTGGGAGCCTGTGTGGAGGTAACAACATCTCCTGTAAATCCAGTATTATTAACCCAGGGGAAAGTTGTTTTAAAAACAGACAGACACTGTCTCAAGTCTCAGACAGACACTTTCAATCTCCCCTCTCTGTACTTCTCCAATTGTCACTGGTTCCTAATGCTCCCTGATTCCCTCCTCTTACCCCTTTTCCACTAAAATCTACCCTTAGGTGATCTTATTTGGATCCTGACTCAAAGGTAAAAGAAAGGTAATTACAGAAATGAATACTGACAGCATGTTTTACGACATCAAGACATTATTGTTCAATTTTTCAGGTGTGATAATGGTATTGTGACTTAAAAAACCAAAATGAGTCCTTTCCTTTGGTGACACATTTTGAAATGTGAGCTACACCCAGAAATGATGATGAGATTTGCTTAAAAGTGACAGGGGGAGGACTGGCTGGTGGTGTAGGTAAAACAAAATTGGATTTGATATGTGCCAGAGCTGATGAATGGATACTAGGTATCATCATATTTTTTGGTATATGCTTGAAAGTTCCTATAATAAAAAAAATTTTTTTAAACAAAAAGCCTACTCTTAGGGAAACATCTGATAAATACATCCAAAGAAAGATGTCACCAACTAATAAGGATAAATAGCAGTTATCTATTTCCTGAGGCATCTGCATTTAACAGGAGAAAAAAGCCTTAAGACAAAGAAATGAATCCAACAGCGCAAGTCAGGCAGGAGCAAAGAGGAGGGGAGCGAGTGGCCATCTCCAAAAAGGCCACTGAAGCCAAGTGCTCTGAAGAGATTCCAGGCTTCATTTTCTTTATCAGAACAGGATTTGATAAAAATCAGGCCAACAAACACAACTACATTTTACAAAGACGGTTTCTGGTGCTATGTTATGGAAGATCTTTTTCAGTTTTTTAAAGTAAGATTCATTTAATAATAGCACTATCAGACCACATGCTATAGACGGGACCCCTTGCTAAGTACTTTATATATGATAGATTCTCCCATTTGATCTTTATTTCAATCCTGTGAGATATTATCCCCATTTTACTGATGAGTGAAAAGTAAGTTGTGCAGTTTCACTCAGTCACTAAGTGGCAGAGCCAGGGACTGAAGTCACTTTGTGATCACTGTAGCTCCTGGGAGAAACCTCTTCCTGAAGGTTGGTCACTCAACCACTGATTCACCTTCTCATGGCACATGGACCACTTATCAAAGGTGTGATAAATCATTAAGTCAGGAACCATTCCTCAAAACAGTAATTAGTATTTTAAATCATCAAACAGCTAAAAAATGATGCCAGGCTAACACAATGGCATAATCTGTGACAGCCAACACAGAAAAGATTCATGAGGCTAATGAACCTTACTGAGGATTGATGTCACTGGAATACTACTAAGTGGGTGCAACCGGGTTTAGTAGACATGTTTACAGCAAGGGAGAGAACGGGTAGAAAGGCGTGCAGAAGAGTGTAGCTCATTTTGTTGGCCACGGGTATCAAAGGTTGAATTCTCTGGGAGGCACATACTGAGGCAAAATTAAGAGAGCAAAAGGTTTGTTGAGGAGTTAACACCTGAAAAAGAAAAGGGGGAAAGAGGCGAGGGCAGGGGGGGGCTCTTGGACTGGGATGCAGACCCAACCAAATGTCTGCCAGCCCAGCAGGGTGCTCCAGAGCCACACTGGGTGGAAATGGCTGGGCCCTTGTACCTGGGCCTTGCTCAGAAATTGGATGAAGGCCATGACTTTGGCTCAAAGACAGGTTTGAGCTAACCTTGAAGGAGGTAACAGCAGGAAGGCTGTCAGCTAAGCATATTCCTTGCAGCTGGGTAGAGTCTTTCTGTGCAAGATATGAACAGAACCTCTTTGTGTCTACCACCCAAGCAAAATTTTTAGAGCTCTAGTCTAGGAGAGATGGAAAACCACTGAGAAGTTTCAATCAGACATGATGGCATTTCATATATAGTTATATAAATATTTAATAATACCTATTGAATCATTCATGTAATAAATATTTTGAGTGTCTATCATGTTCCAGGTGCTGTTTAGGTGCTTGGGATACATGAGTGAACAAAACAAAGATTCTGCTTCAGTGGAGTTTATGCCAGAGCCAGAGAGTGAGAGACAAACAGTACAAAATAAATATGTAGATGAATGGTATGTTGAACCTCTCCTCCTCAGTGTGTCATGGGCCAGCACTGTGGCCATGTCCTAGGGATTTGCTAGAGATGCTGCCCCATCCCAGACCTAGAATTTGAATCTACATTTTAACAGCTCCAGATGATTCTCACAAACCCTAAAATTGAGGCCCCACCCTCAATTTTTACACAATGTTAAGGGAGGGGGGAGACAGATACAGTACTAAAAAGGGTAGTCAAGGTAGAGCTCATCGAAAGGGGAGAATGTTGATAAAAAGTATGAAGGAAGCGAGTTAGCCAAGCATCTGGGTTAAGAGATATTTCCAGGTGGAAGGACCAGCTTGAGCCAAGGCTCTAAGGCTAAGCATGCCTTTGAGGAGCAGCAAGATGGCCAGTTTGGCTAGAATGGAGAGGGTTTAGGATGAAGGGTCGGGTCAGAAAGATGAAGGGGGAGTGGTTACGATGGCCAGTGCTGTAGGGCTTTTTGAGACACAGCAAGGTCTTGGGCTTATACTCTGAGCGACAATGGGAGCTACTGCAGGAGTCTGAACAGACACGTGACAGGACCTATGTTTCCAGAGGATCACTCTGGCTGTGAGAACAGATGGTAAAGGGACATGATTAGAACCAGGGGAACCAAGGGTACTGTCATAATTCAGACAAGAAACACTGGGAGTTCAGAACTGGCTGGTTACAGAGCAGGTGGGAAATGACTTGATTCTAGATAAATTAGTAACCAGCTACAACATGATTTCTTCATGGATTTGGCGAAGGATGGGAGAGAAAAGTGGAGCATTACTCCAAGGTTTCTGGCCTAAGCAACTGAAGAGAAGTGTGATTCGCTGAGGTGAGGAAGGCTGTGGGTGAAAAGATTTTTAGGGCAGAAGATCAAGGAATCATCTTTGGCATGTGGACATTAAGATATCCATCAGACACGCAAAAGATGTTGACTAGGCAGCTGCATACAAGTGTGGGGCTCAGGAGAGAAGTCTGCTAAAGATACCCACTTGGGAGCCATGATCAGCTATTCTACTGTAAAGTCATGTAAGAATAGGGCTAAATATACTGAACAATTGCCATGCCTGCAGATCTGCCTATCATACCACAAATTTTAGTCAGATAATATAATCAATGTTCAAGTCATTGTATATAAACTTTTTCCAGGTTGTAATCTGAAATTTTAGGCAATTAGTCAATGCACTTTAAATATGGTTTTTAAGAAAATTCTCAAAAATACAAAACTAAAAAAAATCCATAAAAGCCAAAATAGAAAAACCCTGAAAATAAAAAATGGTCATCTAAAATCAACTACATACTTTTAAATTAATTTGCCGACAAAATTCATTGATGACTCCCCCTCAAAAAAAAATCTACTGAATAAACTAAATAATAATAAATACATTTAAATTTGTCTAGCAAAACTTATGATGGTATAGCTTTTTGCAAAGCATAATAGCAGTTTTTAACAGTAAGTACTTTATGCAAAGTTACCGAGTTACACTTTACCATATATTATCTCATTTAATCTTCAATCCTATAAGGTTGTATCCATTTTATATTTGATGATACTGAAATTCAAAGAGGCTAAATATGTGACCTCACATGGTTAATAAATGCCGGTGCAGAGATCAAATTCCAAATCAAAGGGAACTATCTGCAAAATTCAAACAGCACAATTTAGATGTGAAATCCAAAGGGGAAACTGATACAAACCTATTTTCAAGTAAAAGGTAGTATTTCTTTTAGAAAAGATTAAATGCTTCTAGGTACTTTCTATAGTCTACAACGTTTGCAAAATGGTTGCTGGAATATCCTCTCTTTCCTTCTTCTTTTTAAAATAATTTAGCCCCTGGCCATGACTCATGATTCTCATTATAGGTATGACTTTCCTTGCTGATTTCTCGACAAGCTGATACTGATGACTGAATCAAAAATGGGCAAGTAATTTAGTGTCAGTTATTTGTACTTTCAGATTTTATTTATCGTAAGGATTAGGTAAAATAATGTACTGTCAGTGACTTATTAAAAATTTATTTCATGCAATAAATTATATAATTTATTTTTATTTTTAAACAGTCTACAGCAAAAACGTTTTTGGAAACATCTTTTCCTTTGGGAAAAACAGGTTAGCAGGCTGACATCAGCTTCATAATCTCATGGCTAAAATCCCCACAGTTACACAGTTAAGCATAGCCTTTCTCTACTTCTCAAGTCAACACCACTTGATAAAAAATAAAACAACATAAACATTTCTAGATTTTGCCTAAGGCCTTAGCTTTAACTGCAGAATAATGAGAAGGAAATTACAAACATATATTCATTAGCCTTAAACTTACCATCTTACATGTGTACCTACCATAAGGGCAAAAGGAAAGTAAAAAGTAAGGCACAAAAGGATGCAATGAGTGTTAGGTCTGTCTACTAAGATTGGCCTTAAGAGACATTTAGCCAACATAATATGGCAGACAAGGAGAAAACTGACTAATATAACCTCTTCTTAAAAAGCTATGAGTATCATATTCAATTATTATTAAATTATTCAGGCTATGAGACTTCTAAAATAACCAAACTTCTGTGTATGCAAAACTGGACTTTTTTTTCAGTTACAAAATAAGGTTGGCCTCAAAAATGTAAAACATAACAAAATCAAAATTTAAGGGCCTGGCAGAAGTTAGTACATCTCAGAAAGTGGGAAAAGAAAACCCAACTCTTACATACACCAAATGTGTATGTATTCCAAAAACTTTCTCCCAGTGTAATATGAGTTAGATTCACCAGTTTTATTGTTGTTGTTTTCAGCTGTTGGTTATTTTCCTCTGTGAAAGGACACTTGAATATAACTCTCAGGATGAACTGCTAATTCAAAATTAAAGTAACATCAGCAGTAACCACAAATTATCTCTGTTTAAATTTTACTAAAATCTATGGAAGCCACAGACATCGTCTAAAAATACAAGCACATTCTGTAGCCCAGTCCTCAATGAGAGTTCTTATTGTGAGGCAGTTAAAGACACAGAACCACAATGGAGTTAAGTACTGATCACAATATTAGAAAAATGTAATTTATATTTAAATTTACCATTCTGTATATCAAGTGCCTAGCAGCTGAACAGAACTGCATTCAATAATTCATATTCTATAACTTCATTCAACTAATACAAAAAAATCAATAGAAAGATTTACAGTCAAACACCAGGTTCCTAAGGCTGGCGTCACATATCATTCCCTGATAGAGTGAGAATTCTTCAGCAGAGGACCTGAGAACCAAACTGTGGGTTTGATTTAAAATTCCTTTCCTTGCCATGTGTAAGTAACACACTGTGGAAAGACCAAAAGAAGATTCCGTTCCTCAATTTTCTTTTCTAGGCAGACTGCCATAGCCCAATGACTTTAAAAACCTAACTCCAAAATTCTACCTGGTAGTTTTTTTGTTTTTTGTTTTTTTTTGAGACGGAGTTTCGCTCTTGTTACCCAGGCTGGAGTGCAATGGCGCAATCTCGGCTCACCGCAACCTCCGCCTCCTGGGTTCAGGCAATTCTCCTGCCTCAGCCTCCCGAGTAGCTGGGATTACAGGCACACGCCACCATGCCCAGCTAATTTTTTTGTATTTTTAGTAGAGACAGGGTTTCACCATGTTGACCAGATGGTCTCGATCTCTTGACCTCATGATCCACCCGCCTCGGCCTCCCAAAGTGCTGGGATTACAGGCTTGAGCCACCGCGACCGGCCCTCTACCTGGTAGTTTTAATAAGGGTAGTTGGGTCACAACGATAGAAAAGGTTATCTTCAGCAATGGCTGGAAGTGGATCATCCACTGCCTTTGTCACTGTGCAAATATAACAAAGGCCAATCATGAGGCTTCTCAATCAGTACTAGCAAATTATAATAAACACATCCTTTTTAATACTTATATGTAGAAATGGGAGTAAGGGAAAATTACACTAGGGTGAGGACCAAGGAAAGCCTGAATAGACAGAACTCTTCAAAAACTGTGTGAATTCCATGAACTCAGAGTCAAATTTTAAGCCAGGAGGAATAGAGCTAGAATTCCATAACCACGGAAAAAGAAAAGGGTTAATAATAAAAACCACAGCTGATTTTATGCATCAAGAATGAAATGTTGTAACATATCTATCATTCACATGTGAGTTCATGTAATTTATCTTCAATTAGAATTATTATCTATTCAGCAGCTGAAGCCCAAGAACTGCTAATATACTGCAGATGAGAAAACATTTGCGAGTTTCCCAGCTCTGGCCTTTCTTAAGCTAAATGATGGTCACAACAATATGATCACTTGCTCTAGAAAACAGTTTTGGCGTACATGTGCAGTAGGCTGCACTGTCAGCTTTACATTTGCAACATCATTTCAATCCTTTTCTTGACTCTAGAGGTTGCAACTCTTCAGCTTTATTGGCTCTGCAATTTAGTCCCAAATTCTCATTAAAAATTTACACTTTTTAATCCAGTATTTATTCCCTTGAAATGAGTTATTACAACTATGTAAATTTTTTAAATGTTTGAGCCCCAAAGATAAAATAAATACATTTTAAAATAAACTTTGTGATATTCATAATTTAAAGCTTTATCTCAGAATAGTATTGACTTCCAAGGTAGTCAAGCCAGTGACCACAGGAGTCTACCTTACACGTTAAAGGAAGTGGTATCTATCTGAGCTCACGTTTACAGTCTGGGACAATGCACAATGTCACCAAAATACCAGAAAATCCCTTTCTTATACATAGGTTACAATGGCAAATCAATAAGAAAAATGCAACCCAGAAGGCAACATACCATTCTCTACCGTAGTGTTTTTAAAAGTATGTTCAATGGGCTGTTAACAAATACTTCACTTTAAAAAATAAGTTTCTCTTTGGATAAGGATATACTCAAACTGGGTTAGTGAGGCAATTCTTAGAGCCTTTAATATGCCAAAAGGCAGGTTTGCAAAGGTGGCTCCCAAATTTATTTGTTTGCAGAACATTTTCTCCCCATGAGCACCTTTTTGGAACAATGATCCACAGAGTTGGTTTTGAGAAACATGGCTTTGGCATGGTGGCATGTTTAGAAGCTTCAGTAACTCTTCAGGCTATGACATATCAGTCTATTTCTTAAATTAACAACAAAAACTATTGTTAATGCAAGTAAGTCTGGAATTTCAGATTTAGAAAAATGAACACATGGGTAGAAATGGGGGAATACAACTGTTTATCACACTGTATGATTTTCACCTTCCTAGCAAAAATATGCTCAAAAATACCCATGTTAGCCAATTTTGATGATGTCTGTACACAACATCTGAACAAACTAACCAATATACACGGCTGCTTAAAGCAAAAACAGTAAGTGGAATAATGGTTTCCCTTACCCAAGTGGAAAAATGCACCAGTGCCATAATGACATGTTTAGAACCCGTGACCCTGGTTATCACTTAAGATTCTCTATATTTGATGACATTTATAAAGCTATCTTCTTTGAAGTATTACTGAATAATTAAAGTTGCTATGATAAACTTCTCTTTACTCAAGGAGTTTATCTATTTTAGAGGTGTATTTCTCAACTTCAGCACTGCTGACATTTTGGGTTGGGTAATTCTTTGTTGTGGGGAGTTGTCCACGCATTGTAGGATGTTGAGCAGCACCCTGGCCTGTATCCTCCAGATGTTAACGGCATCCCACCAGTTGTGATAACCAAACATGTCCACAGATGCTGTTCAGATAAGTGAATCATCCCCAGTTGAGAACCACTGCTTTTGGGTCAAAATGGAAGTTTATACCCTTACTCTGCTTCCCTGGGGAATGTCCATTTCACAGGCACATTGTGACTTACACATTTCAACAAACAACTAGTAACTAGTAACGTAAGAGACCTTTCTCAATTCTGTGTGATCTGCATTTCAAAAATAATTGAAGGTAATATTACTGTCATTACACTAGTAAAAATTATCTGAGCCATGAGGCTTAATTGACAGATATCCTAACAATTAGAAAAATGCTAATTGTATATTATAACCTGTTATGGATCACAAGGATTGAAGCAGTCTAAGAAAGGAAAACTTAACAATCATCAATGGCTAGTTCAGACTACTTGCTTGTACTACAGCTGTATCATTTCCTTCAAACGATCAAGAAGAAACCTTTTGCATGTCATGAAGAAGCATCCTGGTGTGTGTCAAGAAGTACATTATCTAGTTTTAAAGCCATTTCTTCAATATCCACATCTTCAGTTTTATCATAATTGTCATCACTGTCTTTACTTTGTTCTTTTCTTACTGTCTTTAAACACCTGTCAAGTCTCTTTATGAACAGGTCCACATCCTGCATCTTCATTCCGATGGCTGATGCAGCATTGAGGTAAGCACAAGGGTAATTATTTGTATGTGACATAAAGCCTCTGAAAGTATAGCCACTCACAGTTTGCACAGACCCAAGAGGCACAACCCTGAAAGAGGAAAGATTTACCAATTTAATATGTCTGGTGATGGTAACACAATGTCACCCATAAACAAAAGATATGTGTTACAAAGCCTTATATCCACTTATTAAGAAGTTTAAAAACAGCCATAAATCATAGCCTATGGAAATAGACTGGGTTGACTTATTTTTAAAATGATTCTATAACACACCGCTTTTTTACACAGAAAAATTCTGCCTCATGATTATCATTTATTTATCTTCTATGAAAGATCTATAAGCTCTAGGCATCTCTTTTTATTTATTTTATTTTTGCCAGTATCTTCTCTTTACCTGAAGCTCTAGGAATCACAAACACCTCTACATCTTCTTCAAAGAGGTAAAAGGAAAATTACTTGGTTTTCTGCCAAATCTGGAAAATTACTTCATATAGGCACAGTTTACTGAAATATTAAAATTTGCAAGTCAAACCACTGTAATTGTCATGTGTTACCTCAAATAATCAATAAACTAAAAGTCTATCTGATCAATGCTTTGCAATAGACAGTTTTAAAGCAAAGATCCAGAAGAAGTTACATAACTGTTTATAGTGGGGTGGCGATCAGCAAACAGTAATATTCAGCAAAGGCACCTGCATTTTTAAAGCTTTAGTTCACTGGCATATTAGATATAAGCAGATTTCTAATAGTTTAATCATTTTTTTTTAAGGAGTCAATTAAGCTCAACCTAAACATAAAGACAAATAGTGGCAATACTAAAATAGAAGTCAAGAAAACCATTTTAGAAGTGTTAAAACTATACCACATATAGATAAGAGTTCATCAAGGTAAAAAGTAAATTAATCTAAGATTTTCCTTTTAAAAAGTTGCCCTGTGATATAAAATCTCTATCTTCTGGTAGTTACAGAAAAATTCTTTAACAGAGGCATGTAAAGAAAAGTATTTACAACAAGATATTTCTTTTCAAGTCATTTTTCTCTGACCTCATCAAATCTAAAATGAAAAATGAGATTCACTTTCAGGCCATGTATATTTGTAGAGGAAAAAATACAATTTCTGAGGCAGTTACATAGGCAAGGGTTGCAAAATCTTTTTTTTTAGTTTAGGAAGAAGGCTCTTCCTTAACAACACTTTCACTTCCATTTAGTGATGAAGAGGACTTATTTCTAATGCCATAGTGTGACTCGCCAAAGATCTTCTAACAAAGGAAATAAAGACCAAAAAATCTGTGTAGAGAGGTAATAAAACTTTGTTTCTGTATATCTATGAAAACAAGGTTCAGGCATAAGCAGTCCACAAGTGGGCATATAGTAGCCTTACAGATCCTTTTTTTTGACTTTTTGTGACTATTTCAGGCATAAGCAGTCCACAGGTGGGCATGTAGTAGCCTTACAGATTCTCTAACTCATCATTCTTCACTCCATGATGAATTCACAGGTATAGTTCAGCATATACTTGGGGGACCATTGTTGAGGAAAGATACTTTATCGGAGTTAACTTTGAAAAGCCAAATAAACCCACATCCCTTTTAAACATACTTACCTGGCTCCAGAAACCTGTCTGGTAAAAAGCATCGAGCCAAGCTGAGTGACAGCTTTGTCATGGTGTTTATCTAATGTTTTAAGTGTCACAGCTGAAAAAGAAAAAAGTATCCTAATAAGCCTTGGTTTACTGGCATAAAAATCACTCAATAATAACAATTGTAATGATGAAGACATTACTTTTTATTCATTGTCAAGTGGCACAATTTCACTTTAATGTACTTAATGAATTACAGAAGGGATTTTTTCAAATATCAGACAAAAATATTTTAATGTAAATTAACATCTCAGAATACGAAACAGAATTTCCATATCATCCTTCCAGAGAGTAAATTTTTCCAACTAAATAGGTGGAACAATAACATCATCAGTATGGCTGTTCATTCAAATCCAACCAAGTTTTAAAAACTTGTAAAGTGAGGATGTGGGATATATTTCAGTACATATATAAAACTAAGTAAGATCAACGTCTGCAGATAGAGATGGGAATGGTCATTCTGAGGCTGTGTGGGTAAACTGGATTGCATACATAGCACCACTCGTAGCTACCTTTTACTGACGACTCACCATGCTAGATGCTTCACAATCTCAACCAATCATTTAGCAATTTTGCATGTGAAGGAAAAGGAGGTCACAGGCTAGTACATGGAAGAACCAGAATTCAAGCTACACAGTATTGCCTTCTATAACATCTACATAGATCATAAAACAGCAAAGACTAATTGGGGTGGTTTTTATTACATATTGGTGTTCAAATGGTATTCCATAGAAGCCCATTCCTTAAAAAGGCTTCAGTTACAAATGATTCACTTTCCTTACTTTCTTCAGATATACATGAAATATGAAACACTGTATTACATATATTCACAAAAGGGGGTAATTTGAAGCTTAAAAGATAATTAAGTGAATAAAAGTCAATATTTATATTATTGTTTTTATAGCCTCTATATTACATGACAAAAACACAAAGCCCTTATATATACAAGTAAAATAGTAGCCTCTATATTACATGACAAAAACACAAAGCCCTTATATATACAAGTGAAATTATCATAAATACAGATTTCTCTAACATCCATAGGCTAAAGAAAATAAACAATAATGGCATTAAAAACAACATAAGATTTGATTTCTGATATGCTGGTGTTTTGTTAACTAGAGAAAATTTTATTTATTTGTTTAGTTTAACTAATAAAAACAAGGTCTTATATGTTGCCCAGGCTGTTTTTGAGCTCATGAGCTTACATGATCCTCCCGCCTTGGCCTCCCAAAGTGCTAGAATTACAGGCATGAGTCACCATACCTGACCTGGAGAAAGTTTTAATTATTTATAACTAGAGTTCTGATTAGAAACAGGACTTTAAGTATTTTCTGCATATTCATTATAATACTTAATACTGATTCTCATTCTCTCAGTGCATTGGCTTTATCTTAGAAATATATTAAAGCATTTCAAAGACAAAACTTCTTCAATTTACAAATTAAAATACTGTGATGAACTTAGAAATATCATTATAACCAGAAAGAGTTCTCTCACTTTCTAGAAATACCAGCTTCCTCCTAGAGATGGATTGTAATATTTGTTTTTCTTTAGGAAAAAAGAAATTACCTAAAGATATGGGATTGTGAGGTGTATGCAACAGTCTTTCATTGTAGGCTTCTGACAACTTCTTTATTTGGTTGGACAAATATGAAAACATTTCCTGCAACAATAAAATGTCACATTTAAAACAAATCAAATATCTACTGCAACTTGCCAGATTTAGTAAGATAAAAATCTGATTGGTATGAAGTCTACACTGTAAATTAACTCATCCATTTGCCCTAAGACCAATTCTCTTCTTTGCCACAATACAGTGAAATTCAAAGCGGCCACAAATATCAGAAGTCACAGGATTTCAGTAAAGGTAAAAAATCAGCACATTTTCTTCCTTCACTATTACGTATCTATATATCACAAATCCATCTTCTTCTCAGAACTTCCCGACCTACCACTCTGGACCACGTAGCCATCAACCTCTTCCCTGGACACAGCAATAGATCCTAAAAGATTTGTCTGCTTGTTCTCCACTCTTCTAATCTATTCTATACTCAGAGACTAGATAGGTCTTTTCAAAAGCACATCAGTTCATTTCGGTCCCCTGATGACTTCCTCGTGTAACTATTAAAAAGCCACACTCTTCAACTCTAAGGCAGCACATCATGTGACCCAGCCAAAATACTCAACCTAGTGACTATCATTTCCCCTGGCCACTACACACCAGTTACATTAACCTCCTTTCCAATCATTCTAGTATCCAAGTCTTTGTGTTTGCTCTCTCCGCATTTCCTAGATCATTCCCCAAGTAGTCCCTCTTGTCAAATGCTAAAGACACCTTCCTTGGTTAACTTCACTGTTAAAACAGCTTTCCAACTCTGCCAATTTCCTTCCCAATTCCAATCTCCTTCCAACATATTACCTATTTTGGTTCCTTCACTTTACTTAACACTACCTGAAATTATCTCACATACTTGCTTAAATGAATATTGCCTATTACAACCTATTACAAAGGAAAAACTTCTTGAAGATGAGGACTTAGTCTTCTTTACCACCACTGCCCCAACACCAAGAAAAATGTGCCAGACTTTAGTATGCAAGTTGTTTAGGAAAAGGTAGTTAATAAATGTATTTCCTTTAAATCACACAACATTAAAATGAACAATCCCCTTAATCAATTAAAAATAATACACCAACTCCCATAGTCCAAGCTTAAGCCCAAGAGTTTAACACCAGCCTGGGTAACAGAACAGAAAAAAAATGCAACTAAAACTAAAAATTGTCCCAATCTGAAAAATATAATATATTCAATAGTAGAAAATATAATAAAAATATACAAGTATAAAACGTCACATGTATGTAAGTGGCAGTTTAATAATTCTAAGTCAATATTAAGTTGGCAACTATCTGACCTAAAATTTTACTTTCTTCTCCTCATAAGACCTTTAAAAAGTATTGAAATCTGTATCTGCCCAACTGCATCTGCAGCTAAACAAACCCATTTGCACTGAGCTCCTCTAATCACAGACAAAACATATAAACTCTAAGGATACACCAAACAGCCAGGGGCTCACAGAGTACCCAAGCGGAGACAGCAAGAAATGATACTTCTCCAGCTTCAAAGGCCAAGATACTCTGATCCCACACTGAGTCCCAGAGGAATTTTTTCATGCCTGAAGCACACAGATGACTAACTCCATCTTTTGTTAGGTAAAGATTAAGAGGGAAATTCCTACCAGGTTTATGAATTATTAATGAGTCTACTTAAGACCAAAACCATTTTCACTTCTGTCAATCAGTACATATATTTTATACTCTGACCTAAAAATTTTTGAATAATCATTTTTAAATTTTAGGATATAAGATTAATTATCAGAACGTTGGAATTACAGAAATCTTAGATCACTAAAATTAATTCATTCCTTTTATAGTCAAAAAGTTAACATCTACAGTGGTCATACCTAATGAAGCTATCAATAAAAGTTATATGTGATAAGCCTTCTCTTCTGTTACTTAAAGTATAGATAAATATTTAAGGAGACAAATGTCATTATCATTTCCAGAAACAAACAAAAAAGCATCTTTTCTTAGACATATAAAAATATCCTGAGTCAGGAGCAGTGGCTCACACCTATAATCTCAGCATTTTTAGGAGGCCGAGGTGGGTGGATCACTTGAGGTGAGAAGTTTGAGACCAGCCTGGCCAACATGGTAAAACCTCGTATCTACTGAAAATACAAAATTAGCCAGGCGTGGTGGTGGGCACCTGTAATCCCAGCTACTCCGGAGGCTGAGGCATGAGATTCACGTGAGCTTGGGAGGCGGAGGTTGCAGTGAGCCGAGATCATGCCACTGCACTCCAGCTTGGGTAACAGAGCAAAACTCTGTCTCAAAAAAACATTGTGTGTGTGTGTGTGTGTGTGTGTGTTGTGTGTATCCTGGTCCCTCCTTTTTTTGTTTGAGATGGAGTTTCACTCTTGTTGCCCAGGCTGGAGTGTAGTGGCCCGATCTTGGCTCACGGCAACCTCCACCTCCAGGGTTCAAGTGATTCTCCTGACTCAGCCTCCAGAGTAGCTGGGATTACAGGTGCGTGCACCACCACACTTGGCTAGTTTTTGTATTTTTAGTAGAGACGGGGTTTCACCCTGTTGGTCAGGCTGGTCTCAAACTCCTGACCTCAGATGATCCACCCACCCTGGCCTCACAAAGTGTTAGGATTACAGGTGTGAGCCACTGTGCCCGGCCCTGGTCCCTCCTTCTTAAACTAATATTCCCATACTATGAAAGGTGAAACAGTAAGATAATCAAATGGAACAAATCAACAGTTTTTCCAGCAATTAGAACAATTCATAATTTTTCAGTACCACACCAGTGTTAATAAAGAGGATAATTCCTGTTTCATTTATATATTTTCATCTCCTATAATTAGGTTACTAATTTAAATGCTGAGTATTTTTTAAAGCAGCTATGTGTTTTCATTTAGATATTAAATGCTTATTTTTCTTCACTTATGTTATTTACCAAAGTCTTAACTGGCTTCTATCTAATTTACTCTGAAATTCATCAACCTCCCATAAGCAGAAACAAATCTCACAGGCAGGAAATGCCTTTTACAGAGCCCTACCACCTAACAACAACCCACATCCATCCTTCATTTACCCTCAAGCATATATTAATGAAGCAAAATTTTCTCCAGTTTACATATTTCAGTGGTGAAGACAATTTAAAATACGATTCTATCTACTTTGGCAGCCATATTAAATACCAATGTGGTCACATTTGTGAATAAGCAGAACCTGATGAATAGTTAATTTGTACTCAGGTTAGCTCTTTCTGAAAAAAGAAGGAAATGTTTCCTCAGTAACACCCCTAAAGGGTGCTTTTAAACTAACTGATGCATACATGGGTATTAAGAAAGAGAATCTGCCCAGTGTTCAACTTCTAATACTTTAACAAATTAGTTTTAACCAGTTCTATCAACCACTTGCTAATGCCACGAGAATTCAGTTTGAACTGTAGGTAACATTAGGATAGAATTTTTAGACTACGAAGATAACACTAAAGTAATTAAATCTCATATCACTAGTAGGAGAGTAATTAGATTAAAAAAAATTTTGATGCAAGTTCACACCCAGTAACAAATATTTGTAGTATGTCTACTCTGTGTAAAAGGTTATGATAAACAGACCAATAAGCAAATATGTTTTAAATATATTAAAGCACAGTATGCTGAATTCTACAATATTCGACATGTTATACTCCTAAATACTCTCCTATTAATATTACTACATTTTTAAAATATCGTTTAGGAGACTATACCACTATCCTACACTGATACTTAGCTAAGCAGTTTTTTACCTGATATATTAAAGCTACTACAGAACCTGTACTATTTTTTGCTACAGTTAAATCTGTAACTGACATCTATTATAAAATACTTCTGTAAAGAAAGAAATTTATAAGCAACCCAAGCAAGTGTATATAGAAAGATCTTACTTAAACGAAATGAAATATTATTGATTTTCCATGTTCTTTGTGCTGTATTTAACTTAATTGTAAAAGATTTTTCACTAGAGATAAACTGAACTATATACCTGAATGCTAATGTCAGCTATATTTCTAGAATAGAAATACAAAACTTTACACCATAGTTCAAGATGTTAATGGAAGGTAAGTTGAATTATATTAAGCATTATCCTTCACAGAGCCTTTTGCAAATTGATTTTCAGTCACGAAATCTGACATCTAGGCTGTCCCTCCCAGAATCCAAAGACGTACATAATCCACTAAATTTTAAGTGAAATGGCCTTATGTAATCATGTCTTTGGAAACATACCATTTCATGTTATAGGATAAGATAAAAATGGAACCTCACATATTATTACAATATGTCTCATAAGGCAGGTAATAAACCAAAAGAAACATAACCAGTAGTCTACTATTTCAAAGATAACATGAATGGATGGATGGATGACCAACAGTAGGTAAATATGAAAGCAGACAGATGTCCATATTCGAGGAAAATAGTACTAAATACAACGTGCTGCTGTCTATGACTGTGGCCAGCCATAAGGATTGATGTGCACTCAACAAGTCTTGCCTCAGAGGCTACACCCATCTGCATTCAAGCTGCTAAGGCCCCATATGTGAGCCTCAAATCAGATGCTTCTGTGAAGATTCAACTACTCTACTTACAGGGCCGAAAATTTACTAATGTTTCCAAACTTAGCTCTGTTATAAGGACAGTGTTTGAAGTGTATGATGTTCTTTTAAAACTTACTTTGTCCCCCAGTTTTTAGCTCACAAATTCCAGCCACTGGAGCAGCCACAGTGCTGTTATTCTCCCACTTATCCAATTCAGCAGATATTTGCAACAATAAATGATTATCTAACTGCCCTGTTCAGCAAAGCACTCTTCTAAAAGGAAAGCAAAACAGAATAATGATCTTCTCCAGAAGCAAAACAGAAGTGAGGATAAACTTCTAAGGCCATAGACTTTTTCCACATAGATAAACTAAAAGAAACAGTCTTACGTTTTAACCCCTTTTAGAAAAGGGGTTAAATTCATAGTATTTCTCCCCTGGATGAAGCAAATGTGTTGATCAGGAAGGGGATAAGGACAAAGAGGCTCAATTCACACACAGAGTTCCACTCTCTCTGATCCTT